AGAGCGCTCACGTTCTCCCTTTCTAGCAGTGTGTTAGTTAAAGTTTTACCCACGAGAGACTACGCCCCGTGCTGGCTTGCTTTTCCACCGTTCCTCTCCGTTTCGCGCGTCTCTCGTTCGTTTTCAAGGCGTGCATTTTCTGTTTTTTTTTTTTTGGGTGCCATCTCGTAAATCTTCGATATTTCTTTATTTACCTTCTCACGGAGAGACACGACTTGCTTAAAAATTTGACGTTCCGCTCACGTGGCGGTTTTAAAAGGTCTGACAATTGCGCTTTTGCGCTTCCATTTCATTTGTCATTTCTGGTAATTAACAGAAAAACGGAACGGTAAATTGTGCGATTAAGCTCCGAGCGCGGGATTACCACAAATCGATGTACACCGCTACGAGGTTTGCGAGATTATTTAGTAAATAATTGTGTGACTGAGTAGTGATTATATTCTGATGTTTATCAATACCATAGCTGTTTACAATAATTATCTACCTGCGAAAGTTAGATATGTTTACCCGTGTACCCAAGTACTTCGTAAATTATGTTGTTGTCAAGAGCATAATATGATATAATAATTAAATAAATTACAACAATTATAATAATTAAATGAAGGAATAAACAGTTGTGGAACAATGGTATCAGTTGATGGAAATTGTTGTATATTTTTTTATGAAAATTTATGGAAGCATAAATAATGGAATAACATTTTAAATCATGTTAAATTATTCAATCTATTCAATAGTTGAATATTAGAATAATGCGTCTCAGCGTTGACAGCGTCTTGCCTTGGATTTTTTATAACAAAGCTAAGAAGAAGGTCAAATGGTTTTTATTATGCGGGCGTTCTATTATGTTATTTGCATAAACATTCCAAGTACATTCGCATTCTTCGACTAACGATATTTATTAGCTCTCGATTTTTCTACATAAAATAGGACTAAAAAATATGTAAGTGATATAAAGATACAACAAAAACATTAGTTAGTAGCTCTGCAAAAGCATTAAGCGTCATTGCAATTTCTTGTTTTTCAAAGTGAAAAATACGTAATTTCTATCACATTTTCTTCTATCAACTGAAATATATACATAACCCACAAATTCGAGTAAATTTATGTCCTGAGAGAGAGAGAGAGAGAGAGAGAGAGAGAGAGAGAGAGAGAGAGAGACG